AAAAAAGAAAGATATTTTGATTACTTTACTAACAGACCAAAGTAGTATTAGACAAATTTCACTCCTTTTCTTTAGCATAAATAATGTGTACCAAATTTAATTCTCATTGCTACCAAATCAGAACCAACTTGTAGCTGACTTCCCAGCTGTTTTTCAGAGGCAGTAAATGGAATACTATGCAAAACACAGGAGCAATAATTTCACAAATTACTACCCAACTTGTGAACTTGAAGAAACAATGGAAGTTTTACTAGTGTTCAGGTCTTTCATTCATAAGATTGCTATGAGTCATCTACGACTCGGTGGCACTGAACAACCACCTAACTTGGGAGAGTACTATGCTAAGTGAACTCAGTCTTATAAAGACAAATATTGTATAAGACCATTATCGGAGACCAAGTACAAGGATGCAAGGAGGAGGGGGACACAGAGGGATGAGGATTGGTGGGGGTCGGGGAGGGGAGGCTTAATCATAGGCACAATTTGATGGGTGGAGGGAGGGTAAAGGAAAGGGAAAGATTCTGTGGGAAAAACAATGTATTTGATCTTTGTAAGTAAACCAGCATATTTTTTAAAAATAAAGATTTAATTTAAAAAATTTAAAAAGACTTATTTAAATTACTCATCTTTCTCCCTTGGAGCCACTGATAGATTCAAACTGCCAGAGAGATGTCATCTTTGGGCTAGCAGTACAACTCTGTACGCACAAGGCCACTAGAACGGCATTCATTAACCACCTTGAGTCTTTGTAAAGTTGAATATAAAATTTTTTTATAAGATTTCTTATAAAACACTATTTAGCCTATCAGTCTCCCTCACCTCCAATTAAAGTAAAATAATCTTTTCACAGTTCTTGCAGAATAAATTCCATGCATTATTCCAAATATTTAAAAATATTTTTATACTTAAAGAGCAGACAAAGTGTTTCCATTCAATCTGTAATACTGATGTGTGTGTATGTGTGTAAATTTGCTTTAAATGACTGATGCCTTTGAGTTGTGATGTTGGAAAAGGGTACTGAATATCCCACGGACTGCCAAAAGAACAAGCATGTCTTGGAAATGGTGCAGCCAAAGTGCTGCTTGGAAGCAAGGATGGTGAAGCTTCATCTCTCATACTTTCGACATGTTGCTAGAAGAGTCTATTCCCTGGAAAGGGATATCATGCATGGAAAGATGGAGAGTGCCGGCAAAAAAGAAAACCCTCAACAAGGTGGACTGACATGGTAACTTCAGTAATGGGCTTGAGTGTATCAAAGATGATGAGGATCACACAGTATAGAACAGGGTTCAGATCTGTTGTTCACAGGGTTGCTATGAATTGCACTGAATTCAACAGTACCTAATAACAACAACAACAACATAGCTAGCTATTTTACACAGGATCTTGGATTTGTGTTTATGAAAAGTTTTCACATCATATTCGTTCTGAAAATTATGAGTTGAAAGTTTATGTCTAAAAAAGAGACATACAATATGACCAGTCTCCAGATTGGAGCTGAAAATCATCTCCTTCACATTATTACTAAAAAGGGGCTCATGAACCCTTTAGTTCTGATTGTCTCATAAAAGAATTAAGCAATGCTCACTATTGATTCTGACATGCCGTAGTGATAGCTATGCTACTGCTACCAAAACAGAAAAGTAGAAAACACTTAAATAAAATAAAGAGGAAAAAAAGTTACAAAAAAGCACTGTGCAATATATGAAATAAGGCAAAGGATATCACCACCATTATAAAGCCACAGTTTCCCTCCATTTTCTATTCTAAGACATGCACTAAAATAAGGCCATTGAAAATAAAAGGGTACTTACGCACTAGGAATACTGCTTTTTGTTCTCGAGCAATCACCATAAGATCATTGGTTGGAGATAATGATAAAACACAATCTTGAAGCCAAGAAGTTTTTTGTGTTTTGCAAGTAGTTCCTTCTTCTTCCTGCTGCGAAGACAAAAAGTACTTATATAGAAGTAACACCGAAGGCATTTCAACTTGGTTTGTTCTTCCTGAAGGGCTAGGGGTAGGAGAGGAGTATGGAGGTGGAGAATAAAATTATTTTTGAAAGCAATACTGCTTCATAATATTAAAAACCAAAATCTGTCAAAGATAACTGATCAAAGTTTCCATTATAAAATGTCTCAGCAATGACAATTAGTGCACTTTTCTAAATCCAGTTAAATTCTGGCAGCTGTCTGTCAAAAACTGCTCAATTTTTTTTTTTTTTAATTTAGGTTATTTTTCATTTCAATGAACATCTACAGAGATTTTGGAATTCCATTCATTCATTGTTGCACCCTTCTCCCCGCACAAACCCCTCCCCCACCTTTTG